AAGAATTCAGTGGATCAAACTCAGTAAATCTGAAGTCACTGGAATAAAGGCCCCTAAGAAAAAAATGTGTCAATTTTAAAGGTCTTTCCTAACTGAAGACCATTTTGTGATAGAGCCAAAGGTTAATAAAATCAGTAGTGAATGTAGCAATTTTACAGATAAGCTATTCACAACAAGTGTAGTTACTTGAATAAAAAGCTAATTCAGTTCTAAAATGCCACATGCAGTAGCAGTGAATAGCTGCTTTTAGGTGCTTTCTGGAGGAGGATAAAATACAGAATCACGGCACTCTTCTCTTCCAGCGTCCCTGGCTGCCTGTAAATTGCTGTGAATGGGGCTGTGGGCTGACAGGCTCTATTAAGACAAACTGCCTTTCTCATCGGAGAGATAAAATAAATCAGGTGTTTAGTCAAATTAAAATACTTCAGCTGGAGCAGGCCCTGGGGAGCACTGATCCACCTGACTAATCTGAGAGAAACTCAAGACAGATGTGGTTTGGGGATAAAGACGACCCCGTGGAAAAAAAAAAACAACAAAAACCTGCTGCACTGTCTTTGGAGTTGGAGAATAGACACAGTTTATAGCGGAGAGTGTCAGGCGCAATATTGGATAAAAACAGGTACATTGACTTGTAGAGAAGCTGTACAGAAGCCTTTTTGTTGGTTCCCTCTTTGCAGTTTATGAAACTACCTCTGTTTTTGTGTGGGAGAGACTATTTTCTGGCAATGTTTTCTAGAGATTTTAAGATAGCCTGAAGGATGTGAAACAGACAACAGTTAGGCAGCTACTGATGACCTCTGCTGGCCTGGGCAGATCCTCTGGATCTGAGCTCCTCTTTTTTTCAAGTTGATTTTATCAAAACTCAAAACATCACTTAAGGCAAGACTTTTTACATGGAGCTAAGTTACCGCATAAGAGCATTTTGTCTGGTCTTTTGCCTTTAACAGAGCCGGACGGTATTTAGGTTGCCCCACCGTGCCCCATAATTTGTCTACGCTTTCAACAACTCTGGCAGTTGTACAGGTCTTCTTCAACTCGTGATGGAGTGACGTCCGGATGAACCCATCTTCAGTTGAAAATATCGTTAAGTCCAAAATGCCTTTAATACACCCCAATCCACCTAATGGAGCATAGCCTAGCCTACCTTCGCTAGGCTCAGAACACTTACAGTAGCCTACACTTGGGCAAAATCATCTAACATCAAGCCTATTTTATAACAATAATAATAAATTATAATTTTTTGAATATCATCCCAAAACTGAAAAACAGAATGGTCATACAGGTGCAGTACGGCGAAGCACGCTGGCTGTTAGCCCTGGCCATCGTGCGGCTGAGTGGGGGCTGCAGGTCTCTGCCTCTGCCCAGTGTCTGGAGAGACTCTCGTTCCCCGGTGTACTGGATACGTATCACTTTTGCACCATCATAAAGTGAAAAAATTATAAGTTGAACCATTGTAAGTTAAGGACTGTCTATAGGGTTTGTGTTTTTTGTTTGTTAGTTTGTTTGCCATAGCAAAGTTCCATATTCAATTAAACTAGTATTTTTTGAGATGAGAAAACTTGTGTTCACAGGTTGATCAATGTGATTGAGATTCAATGTTATTTTTATTACATCAGCATAAACATTTGCTGTTAATTTAAAACCGAAAAATCCAGCCCCACAGGTTTTAAATACCTTGCTTTAAACCACTATATGTGAATAAATACAATGGTTATAGAACAGAAAAATGATCATGCGTGCACACACACACATGCCCATGCATATAGGAACAAAGTGGCCTACACATTTAGAGAGTATAAGCTATTGTATGGTGTAAATTGATCTCTCCTTAATTTGGCCCACAAGGGACTAATTGATCTATCTATCTATCTATATGTATAGATAGATATATAAATTCTCCATTGAGGGGGAAATTTTAGACTTGTTTTGCTACTATATTTCATTCCAACTGCATTCATTATGCCACTCATATCTATTCAAAATATATATATATGTGCTCCTCAAATTAAGGAAAAGATAGTGACAGTCTTATACGAATGCCTAAAATTTCCATTTAAAAATATTGCTCTCTGGCTTACTTTTTAAAAAATTTATTTAGATGTCACTGAATTTTTATAATTTTACAGCTTGAATATCATTAGTGATTTGTAAAAAGCTTCAGTTAAATGGTGATATTCTGTAAATACAGATATATATGTCTATTTGCATTGGAAGCACCGATGCATTTATAGACCTATTGGCTTCACCTTGAGCAGAAGAAGCTGAGAGGACATTTATATGTTATCCTCAGCTTCTCTGTTTCCTGCGTAGAGGAGAAAGGAGACTATATTGAAGATTGTTAAAACAACATTGTTTAATCTAGGAGAAGAGAAAAGCTTCCAGTCTACTGGGGAATCTAAGTACCGGATCCTACCCTTGTATTGGTCCTTGCCCAAAGTTTCTTATGAATGTTCTTCTTTATTAACAAAGAATTGTGGTACGGTGACTTTCCCAGAATCTACTAAGCCTTCTCTTAAATCACTGCATATAGATAGGTATAGAAAGAAAATTACAGGTAGATCAGAATATTTCCAAAAATATATGTAATAAAATGTGCATATATCCCAATGATCTAGTCTTATAATTTTCCAAACTATTTCCCACACCATAGCTAGAATGACCACATCGTTCATCCCTTATCTAAAATACTGTAGTGATTTTAAAATATTCTTAGAATAAATATGAAGTTTATCAAGCATGGTCTATTAGGAGCTGTATGGTGTGAACTTTTCCTACTTCATCTGGTACTCCACTCCTTGCTTTAATTTTACTTGCTCAAATTTTACTATTTTCTTGCAACTTCTGGAACACACTAGAACACCCCCTCCCCCACTGTCTCAGGGCTTTTGCCTATTTTGTTTCTGCAGAAAAGCTCCTTGACCACCCTCCAACTCTTTGACTAGTTAACTCTCTTCATCTTCCTGTTAATTTGTTACTTTTTCAGTCTATCTTTCTTACACTTGGGCCTCCCAGACTTGGTTAAACTTTCCCCCAAATACCTATCATGTTGTAATTCTTTTTTAGTTGTAGTTTACATTTAAAAGTGTGATTTCTTGATTAAGGTGTCTCCCTACTTTGGACTACAAAGTGCATGAGAGTAGGGAATTCTGTCAGTATCCTTAGTTCTATACAGTACCTGACACATAGCTGTCATTCAGGAAGTATTTTTTTTTCAATGAAAAATGAATAAGATGAGTAAATAAATACATTTCATATTTATTTTGTATTTTCTCATTCTTATATATATTAACACATGCATTAATTGAGCTTGTTGCAATTTTGAAGAAATTTTATGATTCCTTCTAGGAACCTGCTTTTGTATTTTAGTATTTCTAGATCAAGAAGTTCTTTTTTACCAAGCTGAAGTTCCTATTGCTGAAATAAAAACTCATTTAAAAAAATCAATTCCAGTAGGTGGAAAGAACAGCTTGATACAGTATTTGTGCTTTTATCAGTAGAACACATTTTCTAACATCATCTCATTATCTTATTTTTCTTTTAATTTTGATTTTAGGCCATCTTTCAACTCAGTGAATCTTCAAGGATATGGGATATTGACTGTTTGTTTGTTTCTTTATTTTTTAAGGACTTGAATTGGCATTGCAAACCCCAAGGTAGTCCTAAGTGCCATAACTTCTCTGCTGACATCAGTTTTACCTTCTGGGAATCAGATACTAGCAAGTACTTGCCCACATCCTCTGAAGGCTCCCTTTGTTCACGGGGCCACTCGGAAAATAGGACCATTGCTAATTGAAATATTTTTAGTTTCTCAGATTGTCCTGGTGCTTTCTTAGCAGGAATGAGGGGGGTTTCCTAAGGAGATTGGAAGTCTCCTCTTCCACACACACACACACACACACACACACACACACACACACACAATCGGCAATCTTTGTCTCCTTTGACAGCTGGTGGCATCTTTCTGAAAAGCTTTCAAATCGTAGATCATTTCTTCATAATGAAACCTGTGTGGCTCAAATACAGTGGGTTGAAATTCTTATCTTATGCTGTGGTAAATACTCTAATTTAGATTCACAAAAGGATTCTAGACCCTTTACTTAGGAGAGCTGTGCAATTTGCCCATAAAAAGACTGTTCAGCACCATTAGTGCATACCATAAGTGTTCAGCGACATCATATTCATTAAACAACACATCCTTATGCATAACCTTTTCAACCTTGAACGTGTTTTTTCCCTTTGAAGAATGACAAATGACAAAGGGGTGAAGGAGCCCTCCAAGCAACATTGTTGTCTTTAAGGATGAACTTGAGAACTTTAGCTTGATCCCTTCACAGGGGGAAAAAAAAAATCAGATTCAATCCTTTCTTACCTGAGGCAAGGCAGATTTTTTTTTTTTTTTCCCCTCTCTTTGTAGAACTCATTCCATGGCGAAGAGAACAACTCTTGAATTCAGAGACAGGTCTTTACACACAATAGAACAGTTTTAGGAGAGCAATGATTGGAAAATTCCTTAAATAACACTTATTAAGCACCTACTATGTCTTAGATCCTGTATTAGTCACTGAGGGTAGAGAAAACTAATATTATAGAAAATTAACACAACCTGTACTTTCTAATCTTTGGTATTAAATATCATAGGTTTCCTAGCTTGAGCAGATAGATTTGGTAGGGGCAAGGAGGCGGGGAGGGAAGGAATATGGTAAAAGGGTGGAGATGGGGGTAGTTCTGCTTTTTGTTTTGTTTTGTTTTAAATAAGAGCAAGAGGGAAGAATGAGACTTTTATTAGTGATAATACTTTTTCTTGGCAGGGGCAATGACTAACTCTGGTGTTCATTCCATTGATACTCTGTTGTGTTCCTAATGCTCACAGTAACCTCCAGTTACTGTCCCAGATCTTTAAGTGTCTTAAGGTAGTCCCTTTCTAAATCTGCCCTCCCCCTTTCCCCAATTCATTCTGACTTTTCTCAAACTTGTGAGATATCTTCTCACTTCCATTTTAGGTACACCTGAGAGCCTGGCAGAAAAAGAACGGCAGCTCTCTACAATGATTACCCAGCTGATCAGTTTACGGGAGCAGCTCCTGGCAGCGCATGATGAACAGAAAAAACTGGCAGCCTCACAAATTGAGAAACAACGGCAGCAAATGGACCTTGCTCGCCAACAGCAAGAACAGGTGAGCCCTGCAAAAGGAGCTGATGAGCTGGAGATGTGGAATGTGCCAAGCTCAGCGAGTAATCACATTGATTGGTTTATTTGTCATAAGCATTCCTAAAAAAAAAAAAAAAAAAAAAAGGAAAGAAAGGAAGAAACCTTCTAAAAATCCAGGGTCTTCAGAATACTGAGGTGATATGTGGAGGACAAAGAAAGGCATCATAGCAACGGGGCATAATTGAAGTGATAACATTGTTCCAGAACGTTTGGATTTGATTAATTACTTAGGGACTTATTCACATAGGCATCACGCGTATTCCTAGTATAGCTTAACCATGAGTAAGTTGCTTCTCTCCAGGCCTTACTCTTCTCATCCAGAAAAGGAGAGTCCTGGTCTAGAAAAACTTTGAGGATCTTTAAGCTTACTGGTCCAATGATTTTCTCCGACTTTAAAGCTAGGGTGACCATAGGTCTCAGTTGTCCCAGAGTAGCCCTGGCTAGTGCCTGTTTTCCAGAGTAATTATTAGTAACCCCCTATTCCACTTGCAAAAGTTGTCGCAGTTTGAATGATAAATTATATAAATTATATGATCACTCTATTCATAGCATAGGTAAATCATTGAAAACAAATTAGCACATGGTTCTTCTAAGAATTTGATTTCATTGATTTAGATGTGAAAAAGAAGAAAGAATAGCAAAGTTTAAATGTGTATCTTTTAAAAAATAAATCACTTTCCCAAAGGTTTTTCCTGTCTCATAAGAGTACATTAATCTAACAACAATGATCCTATAGAGTAGTCCCTGATGCTTTAGATCAGACGGACCCAAATTAATGTGCAGTTTTTAGGAATCTGACATTATTACTGGAATTATCTTTTCAGTTAAATGTATTTTATAGGGGTATATAGAGCAATATATGCTCTGTTGATTTTAATGAGTTGTGACGTCTGGTATTTTATATGCTTGAATATTTGCCCACATGTAGGAATATGGCCTCAGCCCCTAATGGAAAATAACATAAAGGAACACTGTAAAAAATCAGAAGTTAGAATGTCATTTAGCCATCCAGAGATGACACAGTAATTAACTATTGACACTTGTGAATAAGCTAGCACAAATTAATCTTGACACATTTGCAGACGAGTGATATCTTACAGTGAACACTTTGTAATTATATTTCAAAATGAAAATTAAATGACACTTAAAACTAGGTTGTCATGCTCAATGAAGCGAGCATGTAGCTCAACCGATTGGCAAATAAAATTCAGAATTTGAGCCACATGGTGCTTATGTACCATACTTCACTGTGTCAAACCCATACGTCTAGAGTGGATGATAGTAATTGCACTGTGGTGTTTTGGATGCATTTCTATGCAGCACTTTATCATTTAGGAGGGACCATCAATATTAGATGCCTAGTAGTGTTTCACTGGTTTGCTAAGAGGAAATAAATATTCAGAGGATCCAGCATCTATACCTAGAGTTGCCGAGTTGTCCATTTCTGATTTGAATGGTGACAAGCAGACTGGGCCTTTCCAATCTGATTAGACACTGTTTCCATTTTGCTTAAAAAGCTTTGGGAAGGAGTGGTCCCATCTCTCAAACTCTAGCCAGTGATAGGGGCAGCTTTATCATGAGTTCCAGTATGAGCCAGTCATCACCAGAAACCACAAAAGCAACATTTGGGAGTAGACTGCTATTTTTTGTTATCTTGGGCTGAGTGAAATGTGATTTGGGTGTTTTCCTCTGCTCTAGGCTGAAGCATCAAAAAGACTCAAGAAATACACAGCAGAGGGCTGATCCGCATTCATTTCCACTTCCAAGATTCTAGAATATAGGCTTTTGGGAGTAGAAGAAATAGGAAGGAAAAAAACCATAACACTTGCCTGTAGGGCACTACTAAACCAAGTTCTTCTAAGTAGTCTCTGGCCACTTTTCCATCTGGCTTCCTGTGTGGGCAGTGAGTGTGTTCTTATAAGGGGCATCTCCCGGGGCTCCAGCTTTTGAGGCAAGAGGCAGCCTGATGCCGAACTCATGTTTTATAGTAAATAACATTATGCTGAAGAAGTTGTTTGCTCTTCTGAGGGGCAGATTCAGTCCTCAATAGGGTTTGGATTGAGTGGTTAATATTTCTTTTTATAGACCAGATGGCGTGTTCACATGTTGAATCTGACTGCTGGACGAAGGAAGGGAATGTAAAACTTGTATGTGGATCCTGAACTTTAAAATTAACACATTACCCTCAAAAGGATAAATATTAAATTTTGTTTTTAAAAAGTGCTTTGTACCTGTAACATCCACAACAACAACCAAAAAGATTTCTGACTTTTTGCTGCTTTTTTTGGCACTCCCTTGACAGTATTTGTAAGTTTTACCAGTTCTGGAAATCTTTCTTTCAGAAAAGGTTTCCCCAAAGTAGACCACAAGTAATAGGAAGTTCTTTCCCGGCTTTGCTTACAGATTGTACTTTTTATATCCGAATTAAGCTCTTGCGAAAAATGTAGCCAGAGTTTTCCTGTCTTTCTTCTCCAAAGATCAGATTTCGGCATTCCCATTCTTTCCAGATGACCAGTGCGGATATGGATGAACTGCTCACAAGTGTCATACAAGGGGTACTGTTCACCTACAGAGAAAGATTTAGGTGGTAAGCAGAGAGGTGGCACCTGTCTGAAATTTTTCATTTTCTCCAACTTGCCAAGTCTGCCTCTCTCATTTTATGGGAACTCTTCCACCCAGAAGTGCAATAAAGCATTCTTGTCATTGCGAGAGAGCTACCTGGGTAATGGCCAAGGTGCCAGCGTTTCATATGAACTTAACGAGACTTTGTTTCCGATAGATTGCAAGACAGCAGCAGCAACTTCTGCAGCAGCAGCACAAAATTAATCTCCTGCAGCAACAGATCCAGGTCAGTGTGTTTTATTACTCTCGGCTGATTGTACTTAGAGACTTTCCTCCTTGCAAATGGAATTTAAAATGCTGCAAATGCGCCCCGCTCTCTTGTCGACAGGGCTGGTCCTCAAGGATGTTGTATACAGTTGTATACATGGATGTAGGAAACATTGACCACGACCACGTGGTGGTCTAAGCATTCGGATGTGAGGCATACACAGAATAAACCTTACCTCTTTCTCCTTTTGCCATTCGCCCAACACTCACCCAGTGGAAACCCAAATGGTCTCAAAGGTAGCACACACGTGCTGCTTTTATTGCCACAAACCACTTTCTGCTTTGTATTCTACCACCTGATGGTATCACAGGGAGAAGCCGACGCTTATTTGCTTATCAAGACTGTCTGATTGGGTCAGTTATGAGAAGAGTCTTACAAGCTGGGAAAAGATTGATAATGATTAATTTGGTCTTTAACAAATATTCACTGCATTTCTGCTGGGTGCTGAGGGGAATAGAAAGATCAATGAATAATTATGTGTCTTCAAGGAGCTTATAGTCTGGAAAGGAAGAAACACTTGTTCCCGAATAATTGTAACACAATTTTAAAAATCCCTTTTTTGTTGTGGCAGTGTAACAACATGGTACATAGATCACGATTACAGTGGCCTGGGAAGGAATTCTGATTTCTGATGTTCCTATAGACACCTCATGGTTAATGTAACTAACAGCTATCTGAGATAGGTAAGGGAAGTGGCATCCATTTTTGAAAAGGAACATGGGTATGTGACTTCTAGAAAACCTTAGAATACACACCCGGTTGTCTGGTGATGAATCCTGAGGAATACTCATCCCAGATTTCTGTCTACCCGCCACGGCCTCTGTGCTTTCTCTTGGTTGCTATGGATGTTTTCTAACCTCTGCAATCTGTGTTGCAGCCGGGGGGGGGTGGGCAGTATATTGTGAATTACAGTATTCCTTTGCTTGCGTTTAATATTACACCTTCCTGTCTTTTTAAAAAAATCATTCGCATAAAGTCATAGTTTACTCGTCTGCTCTTTCATTGGTGAAAGCCAGTGATTTTAACGTGGAACCTTGCTTCATTTGTTAATCATGCTTGGTGTTCCATTTAAAGTACCAACTTGGTGCCTGAGGAAGTCCCTGTACTTCGTTTGGCATTTTTGTCCCGTTATCTTCACTCAAAGTTTTCGCCAGTGGCTTCGTTGTTGTTGTTTAATTCATTCTGATTCTATCTTCCCTATGCAAGTATATATGTTTCAAAATAAAGAGTCCAAATACAGGGGAGATGGAATGTCTCTGGCATTTTTGACAGTCAGCTTTTACAATTAAATCGTGGAATAATTTCTCCTCCTGATATCTCTTTTATGACTCATGCTGAGATCCTTAATTAAATAACTGTCCAGGTGTTCCTTGTTTCTGCCCTTATTAGAATTTTCAGTGTGTCTCCTACTGCTAAGGTCAAGATTTTTAGCCTGTGGTTTCCTACATTTTTCTCGAGATTCCTCTCTAAGAACTCAGTAGGTGTTAAACAACCTGATCATTTAGTTCTCTCTCTTTCTCCTATTTGTAAAGCAGGAATGGAAGAAGTTTCCTGAGATGTTCCCTGATTTATCAGTTACTTATTGTTAAGGTCTTTACTACATCTTTATTATTTTCTTCTTTATTTATTTTCAAAGTATTTCACTTCTTAGTCCACTGTTGTTTGTATGAAGTGGCTGTCTTAATTGATGTTTGCTTTGTGGTACTGAGGGTGTCAGATGAATAGCAACCAAATCAGTTCAGAGCATTTTATGAAATATTATTAGTATTTACTGATTGCATATGATTTTATGGTTATAACTTTACTACGTGAAATTGATGCCTTTTTTCAAGAAACTATAGAATATGATGTTAAAATATTATTCATCAGAATGTTCAATTTGAGAAGATAGGAAAACTTTTTTTCAAGCTTTCTAATGGAAGTTTAATTGCTTTTAAAAGTGTGGCTATTTCTTATTGTTTAAATTTTTAAAAATTGAAGCTAATCAGCACTTGATCTCAACTGTACAAATTATAAAATCAGAGAGATTCAAAATGTCAGAGTTGCATTCATTTTAGAAATATAGGAATCTTTATAGTAAGATTCATATTTTAAAAAATAACAGGAAGCAATAACCTGTATTTATAGTTCATTCTGCCCTGGGCTACTGCATTACTTCATATCTTGTCAGTACTTATCTTATCAGTATAGACCATTCAAAGAATTTTTCAAATGCTGAAAAACACTCCTTACACAAAACATACTTATCTCTGACACTTATGAAGCAGGTATTTGATATTTAGACTTTTAGTTATTATTATTTTTTTTAGAAAGGAAATGGGTTGTCTGTATTTTCAAATATGGTTTTTGACAAGCTATAGTCATGATCAAATTTAGAAGAGATTATTATTGGGTTAATTTTAGTATACTTTTTGAGCAAAATATGAGATTTAAGAGATGTCTCCAACACTTTTCTATCATGAAAGAAACATTCTCCCTTTTGAGAACAAACCAGAACAAAGAGTAAAATGAGGTGAACAGAAAACCTTAAAGCAAATGTATACAGAGACAATTTGAGCTGAGTTTGACCTTCTTTCTTCTTTTTGAATCTTGAGTCCTAGAACCTTTTAGCCAACATGGTCAGCAAGATTAAGCCATGGCAATTGGCTATGGATCATGAGTATCAGGTGGTTACATTCAAGATTGCTCTCTACTTCTAGTTCAGAATGCTGACTTGTGAATCTGTCTTGTTGTTTTGGAATTTGCAAGCTGTAATAGAAAGAAAGGGAAGAGTGTCTAACCTCTTGTAACAACCACACACCAACACATCTGGACCTATTATAACTGAAACAAATGGAAACCTGAATGGTTTACAAAAAATGAAAAAAGCAGGATTTTTCCTTAGAGATCGGGAAAGGCATGATGAAGACAGTATTGTAAAAGTCCCATGCTTATTTTATGTGAACTCATACAGAACTTAAATGTTTAGTTAAAAACCCTTTCATTTATATATTTTTCTTCTTTAAATATAATTTTTGACATAATTTTGCCTTAATAAGTTCTAACTGCATTTTGAAAGAGATACCATGTAAGCCGTGTTTAGAAAGTAAGATGAATGATTTTTGTGAACCAATGTTTTTATATTTTTGATGAGCCAATTTTTGCCATTAAAAAAATCAGGGTAATAACTTTAAATGATTATTAAAATGCTTTAATACTAACAGATCTTTTAGGAGGCTGTTTGCTTAGTGAATTCAAATCCCTCTGTTTGTGCTTTGGGGAAAATGGTGATTCCTCTAATTTGTTTCAGATTAAGTAATTCCCCTGATATAGAGCCCAGAAAAAGTTAGACATTTTTGATATTTCCAGGACAGAAACAGCACAGTTTTCATCAAGTCTATGGAAAGCCAAAATAATGGATGCTGGAACATGGATCCTTGGAATTGGGAATGTCGGTTCTCGTGCTTTAATTCCAAAAGACAGATAACTGCTTCCGTAGTGTCATCTTCCTTGTTCCACTGTTGCACTAGAATATCTTAGCCAGTCTTTTGAAGCATTTTATTTATGAGTTATGTTGACCAGTCAAGAAAATTCACTTTTAATCCATTGGACATATCAAAGTATATGCACAGTGTTTTAATCAACTACTAAATGGAAGGCTAGTCTAAGCAAGGGAGAAAATACTGTATAAATCCTGCTTTCTCGGTCCATCCATAAATGTATTTATCCAACCTCAGTTGACCATGTCATGGTTCTTGAATCTAGAGAAGATAGTCTTCATGGACACAACATACCACATTCTTTGGTTTTAATAGCACGTCATTAGGAACACATTTAATGATGGCATTTTGTTGCTAAAACTTAACCTTTGGAAGAGAATTCAGCTCATGGAGATATCTCGGTGAGAAACTTACTTTTCCAGACATGAACGGCGTTATCTCCTTATTCACGTCTCTTCAAGCCCCAATCTTAGAGATTTTCAAGTGGCTTATATCATGTGCTATACAGGCCGTGGCCTCTCCTCACATCACTGATGGAACCACAGTGGTCTCCTAACAATGGGCTGGCTGGTTGGGGGAGTATTTGGGCATTTGGCTTCCTGGGCCAGAGCCGATCATTTAGTGAATTCATCCACACATGCCTTTTTTAGTATAATTGTGAAACTTGAAATTCTTAGCTTTCTGTTAATCTTTATGACTTTTAATCCTTATGATGAATGCACAATATTCACTGCCCTTTCCTCATCATTTAACACATGCATTAGATGGCAAACTCCATCTGTGGAAGGCCTGAACTAAATGCCCTTGCTGCTGCTTTCCACATACTCTTTGTCTCATCTGAAAGCTTTCTATTTTAAATGCTGTAATACAGGCTGCTTATTTACCAGTGTATTTCTCCTCCCTGAAGCTTCACTCTGTCTTGAGAGTATAGGAGTATTTTTCATACACAGTATTTTCTGTTTTGACTATGATATATTGCTGTGTGCTTTTCATATATTTTGTGTGTCTCTGTGTGTCTGTCATGGGATAGAGCACCATTCGGTAGGCGTTCTTCTTCTTCCTGTCTGCTAACCAGGAGAGATGTTAATATTATAAGAGAGGAGGTGATTGTTCTTAAACCATTACACAGAATAATTTGAGATGTACTCTCACCTTTTAAGGAGATAAGCCTTGTCTTTTGTTTCCTTCAGTATGATTAACTATAGGCATTTCAGGTATCTGCTGAGCAGAATAAGGACTACCTTTTTATGTGAAGTAGTTGTCTAAAGATCAGAAATAATTACTTTGTACATTAGCCTTCATGGCCTGTATGACCTGGTTAATTAATTTTTTGCCAGGATAATAATACTAGATATATATTTGAGGATATGCTTCATCATTAAGTATCTAAGTGACCTCTAATTTTAAGAGCTGGACCTTGGCATTTATTGTCTTTTGGAGATGGCTGCAGGAGCTGACACAAGCCTGATGAAAGTCAGG